GTGTCTACTCTTGTAATCACAACTTGTCTAGATTCCATTTACTTATTAGCCTCTTGAAGTTATTAGAATCATCTCATTGTAGGGTGGCACCTGTAGCTCAAGAAGTAGAGTGCTGGCCCCATATACTAGGGGTGGCAGGTTCAAGCCTGGCCCTGCCCAAAACTGCAAAAAAAAAAAAAAAAAAAAAAAAAAAGGACATAGAATCATCTCATTCTAGCATATAAGGCTCAGTTCTGTTTATTTTCAAATTAGGCTTCAAACTGAATTTAAAATATTTTTATCTCCCTTCCCCTTCCTGCTTTACCTCTAGATTTGTCCAAAAGTAGACAAGGGTATTGCCAGTAGTGTGGAATGCACCTGTGTGTGAGGGTGGAATAGCCGGGTGCTTTATTCTTTACACCCTTCCCTCTTCTCTCTGGTGCTTCCCTTCTAATGTTAGAGCAAGAGCAGTGGGGAAGTAGATATTTTATATGGCTTCCCTAGGAAAGTTGCAATTTCCTCTTTGAAGGATGCTGCAACTTTTCTAACTCTGTCAGACTTTCGATGTTCTATATACTGGAGAGAATCCAAATACTGGACCCCTCATTGGCAAAAGTCTTTGAGGGTGCCTCCCACTGCTGGTTCCTTAAGGCGTATCTTGACCTCTTCTGTGAAAGATCCAGCTAGCCGCCTCTCCTGGAAGGAGGAACAGGAACAGTGCCTCTTTCCTCAGCTAGTCCATCTCTCTACTGCCCTGGTCCTTGTTCTGAAAGCATGGAGCATACTGCTGGTCCATGGAGAGGTCAGAGGTAAAAACATCACAGGTCCCTAACCTTGAGGGGAGAGTGGGAGGGTTGGGCATCTCTAAATTTTATGAGTAATTCTATCAAGGCTCCTCTCTAGACTTTGATTGGAAGAAGCTCTTCCATCTTCTTCCTTACAGTAAGGATGGAATGAAGGGAGGAAAAGAATATCCTTATGGATATTATACTTCACGAAAGGCTAACTTCCTTTCTACCAACACTTTCCTTATACTATAGGCAACAGGATACATTTCTCTGTAGGCTGGCCTAACTACAGGTGGTCCCTTAACTTAGAATATATGTATTAACTACCTTCTGTGCACAGCTTTGAACCTTAGCCAGGGCCCAGGAAACATCCTGTCGACATCCTATTATACTTGTACTTGTCTTCAATCACCTTGAACTTCTGTTAATCTTCACAGCATGTGTTTAAAAAAAAAAAATGATTCTATATAAATTAAAAATATAGTGGGAAAGGAAATGGGATACAGAAATAATTGCAACAGTTTTCTACCTTGCAAAGCAAACATCTCCAAGAAAATTTAGAGAGTTGTTATTCATCTACATAAATATAATAAATAATTTAAATTTATTTGAACTCTTTATGTGTGTGTATACCTTTCATTTTAATACTAACTTATCTGTTTATAACATTTCTATTCTTACAACCTTATGGGATTGAAGATCAAAATTGAACATAACTAAGCAATGCAAAGTGTACTGTTGAAGACAAAGTATACTGTTTCTTAAAAGCACAGAAACAATTTAAAACTAGCTACAGGGAACAGGTAACAATGTATCAATATTTAGTATAGAAAAGCAATATTTTATTATAGTCAATAACAAGTCAAGATTCATTTTCTTTCAGAAAAGGGAACAATTTATACTTCACAGTTTAATATACAAAATATTTTTAGTATAGTACGACTATCCCTACTAAAAATGGAACATATTATTTATTCAATAAAATTACCACTTGCTTTTACTTGGTATCATAATTCACTCAAAAGATCTGAGGTTTCCTTAAACAGGTTTTTTTTTTACTGACTTTCCCTCTGCTTGACATTCCCATCTCCCGCATAGTTGACACAGGCACCAGCTGCTTGCTATAGCAGGTAAGCAGTGTGGTAGACTGATATAAAGAAACACCACAGAACCATGTTCTATAAATATTTTGGAAAAGAAACAATTTTCTAGTAAAAATTGTCAATGTGATGCCTTTGAAGACAAAATATTAAATATTAAAGTCAGCCTTGAAATATCACTTAATACATTAGTAGTATAAAAAATTCCTTTCATGAGATTTTACTTTCTATGTATTTATAGCTTGATTCTTTTCTTACAAACCTTTAAAAAATGCTGTGAATAGGATATACTGTAGTAGGGATTCAAAGCTTTGATTATCCATTAACAATTTGAAGATTATAATATTACATTTCAGGTAATTTAGAGTAAGATTTTTTAAAATATGGATCCTGTTAGGGTATCATATCTGGAGATATTATACCCAAATATATAATTTATCTTTTAAATTTATCTAGGTTCTTAGAAATGTCTCAGTTCCTTTTAAAGCAATAAATTGAATGACATATTCACTTAAAAATATTATTTCCAAACTATTTATTTATATCAAGTAAAATTTATATTTTTGTTATGCCAAGGAATAATTTAAATAACTCCCCAAATCAATTTCTTATCACATAATACATTATTACCAGACAACACTGTACCTATTAAAAGAGAAATAAACCATTGCATTAGTCTCAAAGTTTTTGTGAAAATAAAGGAATAATGTAATTATACCCCAAGAAATATGTTAATTATTAGAGTGTCAAGTCAAGTATTACTCTAAATGTCAACACTGGTATAAGAACTAAATAGTTTAGGTGGTGTCCACAGCTCAGTGGATAGGGCGCCAGCCACATACACGGGGCTGGCAGGTCCCAACCCAGTCCAGGCCAGGTAAAACAACGATGACAACTGCGACATAGTCGGGCGTTGTGGCCGGCACCTGTAGTCCCAGCTACTTGGGAGGCTGAGGCAAAAGAACTGCTTAAACCCAAGAGTTTGAGGTTGCTGTAATCAGTGTCGCCATGGCACTCTACCCAGGGCCACAGCTTAAGACTCTGTCTCAAAAAAAAAAAAAAAAAAAACTAAACAGTTTAACTGGATAGAGTATTTATTAATCTTCCTGGGAATGAGCCCCATAATTTAAAATATGGCTACTCCACACCTCTTTCTTCAAATCCTGAGTAGTAGGTCTAGAAGATGGGAAATCCTAATTATACTAATCTCTTAATTTTTAGTGAAAGTAGATCCCCTCCTATAGTACTTCAGTATTTTACCAACATCATTGCCTATAATATTGTGAGCATCAATTAGCAAAATAATATTAAGAAAGTTTTTTTGAATGCTTAGGGCCATTTGTGATGTCAATAATGGCAGAACTCATTCTAAACCACATTTCTTTCCTCTCAAATTCTCTTCTTTAATATATTTTTGCCTCTTTCTCTCAATTTATTTTTTAATAAGACTCTTTTCTAACTATGAAATGAATGCTCATTACAGGAAATTTAAATAATAAATAAAATTAAAAGGAAAAAATGCATATAATTCTACCAATTTTTTTTCTCCAAGATTTTGATGAAATAATTACAATCTGAACAGTGTTTCACATCGTTTTTCCATGCTTGGGACAAAAAAAAAAAAAATCCTTAAAAGAATTCCCTCAGGCTTTTAATAAATTTGCTTAACATGCATGGTTAATTGTTTAAAAAATTGCTAATTGTTAAAAAGTATACAAATAGGCAAAACTGAGAAG